CGCTATTATCCTCAGCAATTTTCTATCCAAGTTGTCAGACCCTGTGGCTTGTCATTGTCGATAGACAACAACAAAAAATGTACCTCTTCCGCACTCACTTTACAGAATTCAAAATTACAATTCCTGTCTTTCATAATTTGGTCAGATATACTTGGATGTGTAGTGTCAGCGTTTGTTGCTGGCATGTCATGACTAAGTTTGCTAATCTTGCCAATAAAAACATCATTAAAGTAGTTGCCAATATCAGTCGGTTTTGTAATGAGTGCGCCATCTGATTCAATGAATGATGCAGCTGAGTTTGCCTTTTTCCAAAATGTTTAATTGAATGTGCTCCAAAGCTTTTTACTATCATTCTTTATGTCATTTATCTTTGTTTCATAGTGTAGTTTTTTCTTATTTTTATTCAGTTTAGTCACATGATTTCTCAATTTGCAGTACGTTTGCCAATCGGTTATGCAGCCAGACTTATTTGCCGTCACATATATTACAGTCATTTTCTTATTGGGTGCATGCTTATTAGTAACTGGGATAAGCAATTTCATAAATGTGTCAAGTGCAATGTCTGTTTGCTCCTCATTACACTCCACAGACCAACAAATATTCTTTACATCAACAACATAGGAATCTCTACAAAACTTATTGTATGACCTCTTATACACTATATTAGGCCCAGCCTTTGGAACTTTGGTTTTCCTAGATATGGCTACTATATTGTGATCACTACATCCAATGGATCTGGATACTGCTTTCAAGCACATTTCTGCAGCATTAGTAAAGACGTGATCAATACATGTTGATGATTTCATTCCTGTGCTGTTCATAACTACCCTGGTAGGTTGACTGATAACCTGAACCAGGTTGCAGGCACTGGTTACAGTTTGAAGCTTTTTCTTGAGTGGGCAGCTGGATGAAAGCCAGTCAATATTGAAATCACCCAGAAAATATACCTCTCTATTGATATTACATACATTATCAAGCATTTCACACATGTTATCCAGATACTGACTGTTAACACTTGGTGGTCTATAGCAGCTTCCCACAAGAATGGGCTTTAGGTGAGGCAGATGAACCTGTAGCCATATTACTTCAACAGTATTTAACATGAGATCCTCTCTAATCTTTACATCAATGTGGTTCTGAATATAAACAGCAATACCTCCACCACTGGCATTTCTGGCTTTTCTGTAAATGTTATAACCTTGTATTGCTACCACTGTATCATAAAAGGTATTGTCTAAGTGAGTTTCAGAGATAGTCAGAATATGAATGTCATCTGTTACTAGCAAGTTATTGATTTCATGAACCTTGTTTCTTAAGCTACATATGTTAATGTGGGCTATTTTGAGCACTTTTCTGGGATGCTTGCTTGTTTTCATTGCTTTACTGGGAAGCTTAGCAGAAGTAGATATTCTCATGTTATTTATGTTAGTGCAGGGTGAGCTGCACACAGTGGACTTCCTACTAGGGCACACCACCTCAGTGCTAACAGCGTACCAGGGCAGTTAGAGGGACATACATTAGGTTACTTACATTGTTTCTACAAATGCCCCTGGTATAATGTACATTTGCTAAAGCATCATGATGACTCAGCGACACAATGGTAGGGATTAACTGAGCTGGGATTGGGTCATTGATAAGTAATTGTCTCAACGCAGCCCTATAATGCTGTGAAAGGATACAGAAACCCAAATTATTTGTGTGGATCCCATCCTCCTTATAAAATGTATTTTGTTTCCAAAAGGTATCGAAATTGTCAACAAAAGTTACACCCATTGAGCTGCAATAATCACGTAGTTGTGAAGTGAAAGAATCCTGCTAAAGTGTTCAATGCCATGATTCAGAGAGGGCACAGGGCCAGATATGATGGGTATTTTATTAGTGTCTAGCAGAGAGTCAATCAGTTCTTTGAAATCCAGTTTCAACTGTTCAGAGCTGCCCTTCATAATGTCATTAAAACCCACATGGACTACGATAGAATCGATGTCCTGGCTTAGTACATTCGGGAGCAGCTTAGTAATGTCATTTACTCAAGCTCCAGGATAGGACATTGTTTTTGCACCAGGAACAGTCACATTTCTTACCATGGAGCTGCCCAAAATCATGGCTGGCGAGAAGGACGAGGAAATCCGCCCACTCCCACGCTTCACAGGATGGTGCAGGCCTTCGACAAGTGGAGAAGCCCCGCTCAATCCAGAGCTGGGATGGAAGGTTGATGACGTCGACTTCAAAATCGTAGGGGAAGGAGTAGGAGTCGTAGTAGTAGGCACAGCGGCCGCAGACACAGGCACCCCCAGCGACGAAGGTGCAGGAAGATCAGGCTCCAGGGTGCCAAAACTATTTGTTGTTTGTATCCGCTCCGGGCCTCTAATTGGGAGTGTAGACTGCTTTGCGGGAGGCCACTGTCTTCGGCTTCCACGGCTCGTGACATGCGACCATCGTTGATTGTCATGCTCCTCTTGCTGTGCTCCTTCGACGCCGCTATCAGATGGGGGAGGAGAGGCAGGAGATGGCTCACCTGGCGAACGAACTCTGGGCAACACTGGCCCGTCGGATAACTACTAACAACGAGACCGTGATGCATCCAACATGAACGAACGCCGTCCAGCCACCGGCATAGAAAAGGTAAACATTCCTCTCTGCGTTTTCCCCAGTTTGTTACGTAGACTGGCTACCTGCGTGATCAAGGAAGCCACCTCAAGCCTATAATCCTCAACAAGAAAACAATTGCCGCATTGGAACTCTGAGTGATCCAGTTTGTCCCGAAACAAAGCGTAATAGATACAGCGCTGGAAGCATTCATTTACTTCTCCAGACAAAGAGGACTCCATTGGAAAACTCATCTGGGACTAACTTTGTTAGCTTGATGGCTAACGTTAGCAGCTTAGCTAGGTTAGCGGCTCTTTCAAGCAGACTTTAACCTGTCAGGTAAGCAGGATTCCGGGACAAGAAATAGCGGCCCTAGCTGTTAAAAGCTAACCACGTCGCAGAATCCATGCAAAAACAAGTTCGGTATTTATGTTTTGATTCACTGATTCACTGTGTCTGACATTTTCTGTGTGTGAGATTTTGTGTGTAATTGTCTGGCTGTTTATGAAAAATGTGTGTGTTTGTCCCAGTGAGTGAGTCTCTGGAAACAGAGTAGTGTTATGTCCTCACAGTCACAAGAACACAGGACTACACGTGTTTTCCCATCCCTCCTCCCTTCCCCTGGGAATAGCTGCAATACTGTCTTATGGTGGAAGTGATGGAGGATAGATGCGATGAATATGTTAGAGGTGTTTCATGTTCTCTTTCATTTCAGATCAAAAAAGCTTTGGGTGAACCAGCACTTTTCTTTCATGAGTGAGAAGGAGCCTTAAGCGCTTTTTAAACTCTTACAGAGAGAGAGAAAGAGAGAGAAAGAGGGAGATGGAATGAGAGAATAGTTATATTGTGGACTTCATTGAAGTTAGAGATTTAAGGAGAGAGGGAGAAAGAGAAAGAGGGAGAGAAAGATCCAGGGAATTAAGAAAGAGAATCGCAACGATGAATAGAAAATAGAGACTGATGGGAAATAGAGTTTTGATGATTTTCTGTATTGCCTGTGTTGGTGTGAAATGTCACTGTGTTGTTTCAATGGACCTGCAGAGAACTAACATAGGCATTTAATAATGATTCTGCAATAGAGAATAACTACTTAGAGTATATATAGATAAAGGAAAGAGGGGGAGTGTAGAGAGGGAGAGACGGAGCAAAGAGAACATTTTAAATTTAAGTCATTTAGCAGATGCTCTTATCCAGAGCGATTTATAGTAGTGAGTGCATACGTTTTCATACTGGTCCCCTGTGAGAATTGAACCCACAACCCTGACGTTGCAAGCACCATGCTCTACCAACTGAGCCACATGAGAAAAGGGGGACTGAAGGGAGTGGGAAGTTAGGAAGAAGAAAAGGGGGCATCTGAGGCAGAGAGGGGAGAACTAGGCAGAGAGGGGAGAACTAGGCAGAGAGGGGAGAACTAGGCAGAGAAAGAGAGAGAGGGATGAATGTAGAGAGAGAAAGAGAGAGGTAAGGAGGCAGAGAGAGAAAAAGAGAGAGAAGGATGTAGAGAGAGAACAGGGAAGGAAGAAGGTAAAGATGGAGAGAGAGGGAAGGAAGGAGGTAGAAAAAGAGAGCGAAAGAGTCAGAGAAGGAGGTAGAGAAGGAGGGAGGTAAAGAGAGAGAGATGGCCTCTGGGGATGTACCATGTGTGGGAGGGAAGGAGGGGTAGGTTGAGGAGCCGTAGGGGAAGCGATGGCTTTGATGAATAAAACATCTCATGAATGAACGGGTGTGAATGCATTAGCTCGAGATACAGAGAGAATGAGGAAGAGAGGAGAAAGGAATAGAACGCATGAGGGAAATAAGAAGCAAAGATAGGGATGAAGGGCAATAGGAAGATAGTTTTAAGGATGTGCAGGCATAGGGATGGAGAGAATGAGGGAGGAAGAGAGGAAAAGGGGAAGTCAGGATGGACTGGGCGTGGGGAGAAGAAAAGAGGGAAGCACCGGTAGAATGGAGAGTCGTTTTTTATAACAAGAGCATAAGTGTCTTGTCATCTTAGGGAAAGCTTTTGTACAGTAATTGCTCCATATCAATGTAAGTCTGTGGAGAATATGAATGTAGAAGCTAAACTCTGCTCCCTATCGGTTTGAGTGAGTGCAGATTTGTACAGTAGAAAATTATAGGAGAGTCAGTGAAGTGAAAACAATCTTCTGTTCTTTGCCAGGGCAACATGGACTCAGTGGTAGACGTAACATAGTAAATGCATAACCGGGACTCTCCAATTAGTATGATATGTGACGTTTCATATGGCATACATTAATTTGTGGATGTCCATCATCCATTTCGTATGATATGTTATGAATTACAATTCGTATGATATGTTACAATTTGCAATTGGTACAATATGTTACCAATTAGCAAAATGTATGATATGTTATGAATTCAAATATGTTGCCGCTAACATTAGCTAGTTAGTTAATGTTAACTAGGCCAGGGGTTAGGGTTAGGGGTTAAGGTTAGGGTTAGGATTTAGTTTAAAGGGTTATGGTTAGGGTTAGGGTTAGGGGAAGGGTTAGCTAACATGCTAAGTAGTTGCAACGTAGCTAAAAAGTAGTAAGTAGTTGCAAAGTTGCTAATTAGCTAAAATGCTAAGTTGTCCATGATGAGATTCAAACACGCAACCTTTGGCTTGCTAGACGTTTGCTCTGTCTGTGTGTGTGTCTGTCTGTATCACTAAATGAATAATTCATGATTATTAATGTCTGTTGATTTATTTTAATATTAATGAGTTGGTGTGTGTGTGTGTGTGTGTGTGTGTGTGTGTGTGTGTGTGTGTGTGTGTGTGTGTGTGTGTGTATGTGTGTGTGTGAGCATGCACGTTCCAGAGAGATAAAAAAAATAATGTAATTGGTGGTGGTGGTTTTTGTGTGTTTGTGTATGTGGTGGGGAATAGAAAGGAGGGAGGAGGAGGGGTGAAAGCCGCTTAAAGTCTTGGTGCTTTTAGACACAGAACCCTACCATGTTTTAACATTTTGCACATCATGCCGGGGGGTACAGACAGTCAGTTTGTGTGCGTGTCAGCGTGTGTGTCCATACATGCATGAGGAAAAGACCAAGGCACTCTGCAGTCTCGCCCACCAAGCACAATCGTCTGGTTGGTGGTTGTTTTTTAAACCATGCCAGTGGCTGCATTCACCATAGTAGTGCCTCAACGCTGAACAAATATTGTACCAATGAGACAACATTAGGCCCACCATACAAAGGCCTAGCCTGCAGCTCTAACATGATCTGCATGTCTCCATGGACCTCAGCAGGCCTCTAAACTGGGGTCCTGGAGGAGCAGTGTGTCTGCAGGGTGAAGGCAGTACATCCCCACACTGTGTTTACACCAGCTCATTGTTAGGGAGGCTGGCTGGAGCTCTCTAGCTGGGTATTGTACTAACACTGCTGAGTCTGACTATATGTGTATTTTTGCCTGTAGTGATATAGTTTTATTTGCTGGGGATTCAGCAGAGACTATTGCCCACACATATGGGTTTGCCTGCAGTGACAGTCATATTTTGAGAAATATTGGCAAAGGAATTGTATGAGGAAATGTTGGTTCATCCCATAGAGAATGATAGAGGCCTCTAGTGGCCAAATGGCCGTTATAGCATGGGCAGCACCATTGAGTGCTTCCACCATCCATCCGACATTTAGTCAAAGTAGTCAACTGGGTGGGGATTCCTATGGGTTGTAGCCTCAATGGCGCTGCCCATGCTGTCACAGATGCTAGAATGGCACAGATATAAAGATGAGTCCTCTATCTATCCCTAAGGTTCATCCATACATTTAATACACTACATGACCAAAAGCATGTGGACACCTGCTCGTCGAACATCTCATTACAAAATCATGGTAATTAATATTGAGTTGGTCCCCCCTTTTCTGCTATAACAGCCTCCACTCTTCTGGGGCTTTCCACTAGATGTTGGAACATTGCTGCAGGGACTTGCTTCCATTCAGCCGCAAGAGCATTAGTGAGGTCAGGCACTGATTTTGGGTGATTAGCCTGGCTCGCAGTCGGAGTTCCAATTCATTCCAAAAGTGTTAGATGGGGTTGAGGTCAGGGCTTCCACACCGATCTTGACAAACAATTTCTGTATGGACCTCGTTTGTGCACAAGGGCATTGTCATGCTGAAACAGGAAAGGGCCTTCCCCAAACCGTTGCCACAAATGTGGAAGCACAGAATTGTATAGAATGTCATTGTATGCTGTAGCATTATGATTTCCCTTCACTGGAACTAAGGGGCCTATCCCAAACCATGAAAAACAGCCCCAGACCATTATTCCTCCTCCACCAAACTTTACAGTTGGCACTATGCATCTGGGCAGGTAGCGTTCTCCTGGCATCCGCCAAACCCAGATTCGTCCGTCGGACTGCCAGATTTACATTTTACATTTTAGTCATTTAGCAGACGCTCTTATCCAGAGCGACTTACATATATATTTTTTTTATACTGGCCCCCTGTGGGAATCGAACCCACAACCCTGGCGTTGCAAACGCCATGCTCTATCAACTGAGCTACATCCCTGCCGGCCATTCCCTCCCCTACCCTGGACGACGCTGGGCCAATTGCGCGCCGCCCATGAGTCTCCCGGTCGCGGCCGGCTGCGACAGAGCCTGGATTCGAACCAGGATCTAGTGGCACAGTTTTGCACTGCGATGCAGTGCCTTAGACCACTGCGCCACTCAGGAGCTGGTGGAGCGTGATTCATCACTCCAGAGAACGCGTTTCCACTGCTCCAGAGTCCAATGGCGGCGAGCTTTACACCACTCCAGCCGATGCTTGGCATTCCGTATGGTGATCTTAGGATTGTGTGTGGCTGCTCGGCCTTGGAAACCCATTTCATGAAGCTCCCAATGAACAGTTCTTGTGCTGACGTTGCTTCCAGAGGCAGTTTGGAACTCGGTAGTGAGTGTTGCAACCGAGGACAGTAGAGTTTTACGTGCTACGTGCTTCAGCACACGGCGGTCCCGTTTTGTGAGCTTGTGTGGCCTACCACTTCGCAGCTGAGCCGTTGTTGCTCCTAGACGTTTCCACTTCACAATAACAGAACTTACAGTTGACCGGGGCAGCTCTAGCAGGGCAGAAATTTGATTAACTGACTAGTTGGAAAGGTGGCATCCTATGACGGTGCCACGGTGAAAGTCACTGAGCTCTTCAGTAAGGCCATTCTACTGCCAATGTTTGTCTATGGAGATTGCATGGCTGTGTGCTCGGGTGTCAGCAACGGGTGTGGCTGAAATAGCTGAATCCACTAATTTAAAGGGGTGTCCACATACCTTTGTATATATAGTGTATCTCAGAGTTTTGTAGTGTTTATTTTTTCATATATTTTGAAAAACATATGGTGCATGCATTTATGTTAATCCCTTTATGTGATTACATTATTCCATTCATGTGAGTTGTCAATATTTATACATATCCTGTACTTTTATTGCTGTATGTTTGCATCTGTTGTAAGCCTACTAGTTATGTATGTATGTATGTGTATAGTAACATGCTGCATCCCCTCTCCTTCCCAGGCGAGCGGTGTGAGTGGGACAGGCGTCAGGGCCGCTGTGTCCCGGGGGTGTGTAGGAATGGGGGGACGTGCAGGGAGCTGTCTGGAGGGGGGTTCCGCTGTGAGTGCCCCGCAGGGGGGTACGAGCGGCCCTACTGCGCAGTCACCTCACGCTCCTTCCCCCCCAAATCCTTTATCATGTTCCGAGGCCTCCGCCAGAGATTCCATCTCTCCATTTCTCTCACGTGAGTACTGACTTTCTCTTTCTTTTTGTCTTTCTTTTCTCTTCTCTTCTCTTTCTCTCTTTCTCTCTCTCTCTTTCTCTCTTTCGTTCTAGACCATTTCTCAATTTCCTGCTCTTTCTTTCATGTGTCATGTCATTTATTTTTATATTTTACCCTCTATCCTGTTCTCTTTGCCCCGGCCCCACCTCTCCACCCTTAGAGGCCCAAATTGGGACCTGGCGTGGCCCCTTGGTGTGTTCTGATTGGTCAGAGGTGGTTGCTAGGGTGAAGTGGTCACAAATGTGATCTCAGGTCTAACTAAATCCCATGACTCAGAGGTCCATCAGCTTTAAGACACATGACGTGATCTGTGCCAGCCTCTCTCAGCAGGCATAGATATTTTATTTATTATATATCACATTGTCCTATATACTCATGTACACTTGCATTAGAGATTTGCGGTGAACCTTACAGTATCTCCTGTACCGTGTGTATGTGTGTGTGTGTGATGGCGGGTGGGGTTACTCACAGCACCCTAACATGGTCGTGGGTTGTGTTACAGTTTTGCCACTCTGGAGAACAGTGGCCTCCTCTTCTACAACGGGCGCTTCAATGAGAAACACGACTTCCTGGCTCTGGAGATCCTAGAGGGACAGGTGGTGCTCAAGTACTCCACAGGTATGTGTCTATCTGTATCTGTATGTGTGTGGGTTTGTGTGTGTGCCCCGCCTATACAATGGTAGGGGAAACTCTGGTTTTGAGTGTGACCTCTGACCCGTCTGTCCCCAGGTGAATTGTCCACTCAGGTGAGCCCCTTCCTACCTGGGGGCGTGGCCGATGGCAACTGGCACACTGTCCACATCCACTACTACAACAAGGTGAGTCCCTGTGTGTGTGTGTGTGTGTGTGTGTGTGTGTAACCCTTCATCTCTGCACATACCATGCATTTGTTAGAATTCTCTCCCCTTCTCCATTTTTCTCAGCCCTCGCGCAGTGTGAGTACAGTATGGCTGTGTGTACATGTTTGTCTTTCACTCTCTGTGAGTGTGGCTGTGAGTTCCCCTGCCCTCTTAGCCCATGTGCAGTGTCAGTGTTTCTTTGTATGTCACACATTCTTCCCTCTCTCTGTACTGTATTTTACTCTCTGTCTTTGTAGCAGCACAAGCAGCAAGAGTACAGCAAGGTGTTTTGGTGTACTGTGTGTGTACTATGTGTGTACTGTGTGTGTACTGTGTGTGTTCTGAGTGTGTTCTGTGTGTGTACTGTGTGTACGTGTGCATGTGTGTCCGTTATATTTGACTGTCCCTGTGTCTGCCCCAGCCCAAGCGCAGTGTGAGTGGGGAGGCCCAGGGTCCATCTGATGAGAAGGTGGCGGTGGTCAGTGTGGACGACTGTGACACGGCCGTGTCGCTTCGCTTCGGAACGCAGCTCGGCAACTACAGCTGTGCTGCTCAGGGCAAGCAGACCAGCTCCAAGAAGTAAGTCTCTCTCTCTCTCTCTCTCTCTCTCTCTCTCTGTCTAGCTCTCTCTTTCTCTCTCTCACACACACACACACACACACACAGACAGACACACGTGCACGTCCATTGCAAGTCAGTGTCAGGGTTAAACCCTCAGCATTGCCACTTAAACCTATTCTCCCTGTCTGGACTTGACAAGTCACTCACATCGCTGCTGCTGTGCTCTGTAAGCGCTGAGGAAAGGACAAGGGCAACATCTAATAGTGTTGTACTGCTCTCTTCCATCCTCCTTCTCTCTCTGTCCCTCTGCCTTCTCTCTCTCGCTCTCTCTCTCTCCCCTTCTCAGATCTCTGGATCTCACCGGTCCCTTGTTTTTGGGCGGAGTGCCCAACATGCCTGATCATTTCCTGTTTCATACCCGGGAGTTTATTGGCTGTATGAAAGACCTCCACATCGACAACAGACCTTTGGACCTGGCGGGATACATCGCTAACAATGGAACCCTACCTGGTCTGTATAGCATACTCACAGATACAAGTGGAGACTCAGATACTTCACAGGGGGTAAAAATCTGAAGCATCCGGTTGGAACTTCCACTCACTCACTCACCACCAATATGGTGATGAGAGAAAGTCCAGTGGCTGGCAGCTGGAGAAGATGGAGCGAGATGAAACTGGGCTGACGTTCTACACATTTGATGAAAAATTCAATCTCAATACAGTTTTCTGTTCCTAAAAGTATACGTTTTGTAGACTTGACGCTTTGCCAAAGTCTTTGGCATACCTGTCTGTGTTTGTGTTGTCAATGGAAACCACTAACCGCGAAGTTGGTTGAGGTTGTTAACACAGATGTGGTGATTTTCTCTGGTTCTGATAGGCTGTAGTGCCAAGCTGCTCTTCTGTAACTCCGACCCGTGTCAGAATGGAGGAACGTGTCGTGTCAGCTGGGAGACCTTCTCATGTGACTGCCCCCTAGGGTTTGGAGGGAAGGACTGCACCCATGGTAAGATAAGCACTGACATACCTGTCCAGTAAACATAGGTTTTTCTCACTCCTATATAAACACATATATTCACACACCTCATACTAACCTCACTGACCACACCTCTTCTCCCTGCCCCCCTACAGTGATGCCCCACCCACATCGTTTCCTGGGAAACAGTGCCCTCTGGTGGGACCTGAAGAATGACGTGACCATCTCCACACCCTGGTACCTGGGGCTGGTGTTTAGGACGCGGGCCAGGGAGGGCACCCTGCTGCAGGCACAGGCCGGACAGTACACCAGCCTGGTCTTCCAGGTCTGTACACACATACATCGACACTCACCTGTGCTTCCTAACCTGCACTAGTTTATCTGTGTCTATATGTCTGTCTGTCTTTGTAAATGGGTCCATTTATGTTGAAGTAATACCAAGCTGCAGGGGGATTCCAAACCATATTTGTGTGGTCATCTACAGGATTACTCTGTGGATTATTCACACGTGTCTCTGTTTGCTTGGCAGCTGGTGAGTGGTCAGCTGGTGTTCTCGGTGACCAAGGGGTCGACGCTGCCGGTGCGTCTACGTCTGGACCAGGTGCAGGTGAGCGACGGGCGCTGGCACGACCTGCAGCTGGAGCTCCGAGACGTCCGCAGCGGGAGGGAGACGCGCTACGTGGCTACCGTCCGCCTAGACTTTGGCCTCTTCCAGGTGAGAGTCCCACATTGTCCCTACACACAGATTTGCGTTTCTTCCCTTAATTGATTAGGCTATGATTGGGGAGGGGTAAACTGATCCTAGATCTGTGCCTAACGGTGACTTTTACCGGGAGAGACACATTAAGGCCGTGACCAGAATGACCAGTGACCCACTACTCAGCAATGCAGACATCTCAATGCAAATCATAACCTCTAAATGGCCCTGTAATCCTGTAGGTTGTTAATCCCAATATCCAATCCTAAAGCTAGTGTAATGAATGCCCACTGCTGGTATTAAAACCTGTAAATATTGACTCCAGCCATGTAGCACCACACACACACACTCCCTTGTTATGCTCTTTTATGATCTCTCCTGTATCCTTCTTGTTTACTTTCTTTCATTGAAATATTTTTGTGTCTCTCACTCTTTCTCTCCCTAAACCTGTCTAACCCTTTCTATCTATTCTGTTCTTTCACTTATTCACGCTTTCCCCCCTCTTTCTCTAACTCCATCTATTTGAATGCACTGAAGTCGTTCTGAATAAGAGCATCTGATAACTGACTAAAATTTTTATTTTTTAGTGTTAGTGTAATCAATTTTTTTCTCTCTCTCTCTTTCTTCCCTCTCTCTCTCAGGGCACAGTGATAGTGGGGAATGAGATCCATGGGCTGAAAGTGAAACACCTCCATGTGGGCGGAGTCCTGGGCTCGGGCGAGGTACAAAATGGGATACGGGGCTGCATCCAGGTAAGGGTCCGATCACCATGGCAACTGTATCTTAACCAATGCCCATAATTATTTCTGGGACTCTTATAGACTTTGTGTGTTAGCATGTATGCTATGTATGGTATATTGGTCTATGTTCTTTTGAGACTGTATTTGACACCTATTTCATCTATGTTCTTAGGGGGTTCGTTTAGGGGTACGACCAGATGCCACGCCCCTGCCCCGCCCCTCCAGGGCTGTCAAAGTGGAGACGGGCTGTAGCGTTGGCAACCCCTGTGTCTCCTCCCCCTGTCCGCCCCACAGCCGCTGTAGTGACGATTGGGAACGCCACACCTGTCTGTGCGAACCAGGTAAGATACTGCAAGAGAGAGAATAGGTATTTGTGTGCGAGCAAATGCGTGTGTGTATGTGTATGTGTGTATGTGCAGGCATTTAGCATTTGCAAAAAGACCTACGTTTGGCAAAAAATACAAAACTATCAGGTGAGGCGACTAAAAAGAGAAAGAAAGTTTGAGAAAAGGTGTGATGGAGAAAGATTGAAAAAGAACGAGAGAGGAAGCGGTGAGCGCCGCGGGGGGGAGGAGAGGAAATACAGAGGCTGACATCCCTTTAGCACCATCTAAAACAAACACCTCTCCCTATTAGCATAGTGTAGCAGCGCTTCATTACCACAGTGTTGGCTTTCATCAGCACAACGAGCATTACAGTACATATGGAGCTGGCCAATGAGCGTCAGGAGGAGACCAATCAAAATTCCATAACGCCACACAGAAGTGCTCTAAATAATTCCCTCTCATCTTTGGCTGTAAGTACGCCAGTGCTGAATTAGCTTAATGGCTCTCTCATGCACGAGAGAGTTACAGCGCTGTTCACACACTATATACAGTGCATTCGGAAAGTATTCAGACACCTTGACGTTTTCCACATTTTGTTACGTTACAGCCTTATTCTAAAATGGATTAAATTTTTTTTTCCCCTCATCAATCTACACCCAATACCCCATAATGAGAAAGCAAAAACAGGTTTTAGAAATTTTTGCAAAAATAAAAAATATAAACGGAAACATCACATTTACTTAAGTATTCAGACCCTTTACTCAGTACTTTGTTGAAGCACCTTTGGCAGCGATTACAGCCTCGAGTCTTCTTGGGTATGACGCTATAAGCTTGGCACACCTGTATTTGTGGAGTTTCTCCCATTCTTCTCTGCAGATGGAGCAGGTTTTCACCAACGATCACTCTGTACTTTGCTCCGTTCATCTTTCCCTCGATCCTGACTAGTCTCCCAGTCCCTGCTGCTGAAAAGCATCCCAACTGCATGATGCTGCCACCACCATGCTTCACCATAGGGATGGTGCCAGGTTTCTTCCCGACGTGACACTTGGCATTCAGGCCAAAGAGTTCCATCTTGGCTTCATCAGACCAGAGAATCTTGTTTCTCATGGTTTGAGGTGCCTTTTGGCAAACCTTTATGTGTCTTTTACTGAGGAGTGGCTTCCGTCTGGCCTGATTGGTGGAGTGCTGCAGAGATGGTTGTCCTTCTAGAAGGTTCTCCCATCTCCACAGATAATTTCTGGAGCTCTCTGAGTGACCATTGGGTTCTTGGTCACCTCCCTGACCAAGGGCTTTTTCCCCCGATTGCTCAGTTTGGCTGGGTGGCCAGCTCTAGTAAGAGTCTTGGTGGTTCCAAACTCCATTTAAGAATGATGGAGGCCACTGTGTTCTTGGGGACCTTCAATGCTGCAGAAATTTGTTGGTAGCCTTCCCCAGATCTGTGCCTCGACACAATCCTGTCTCAGAGCTCTACGGACAATTCCTTTGACCTCATGAATTGATTTTTGCGCTGACATGCACTGTCAACTGTGGGACCTTTATATAGACAGGTGTGTGCCTTTTTAAAATCATGTCCAATCAATTGAATTTACCACAGGTGGACTCCAATCAAGTTGTAGAAACATCTCAAGGATGATAAATGAAAACAGGATGCACCTGAACTCAATTTCGAGTCTCATAGCAAAGGGTCTGAATACTTATGTAAATAAGGTATTTCTGTTTTTATTTAATTTTATTATTTTTTAGCAAAACAATCTAAAAATCTGTTTTTGCTTCGTCATTATGGGGTATTGTGTGTAGATTGATGAGGAAAATGTTTTATTTAATCAATTTTAGAATAAGGCTGTAACGTAATAAAAATGTGGAAAAGTCAAGGGGTCTGAACACTCCGAATGCACTGTACTAAACATGCACACATACATACATACATACATACATACATACATACATACATACATACATACATACATACATACATACATACATACATACATACATACATACATACATACATACATACATACATACACACTAACACATAGGGCATGACAGGGCACTGACATGAGGACATCTGCTGTCAGTTTGGAGCTGTGTTAGTTTGTGTTCGCCTGTTTGCTTTTTAGTATGCACAGGATAATTAAGTGCAATGAAAATGAAATTGGGTTACTTCTGGTAGATTGCAGTTGAATCGACCCAGAGCAGCTGAGATGGCTAAGGGAAAAAGCTACACCACTCCACTATCAGAGAACATACACTACATTACCAAAAGTATGTGGACACCTTCTCTTCGAACATCTCATTCCAAAATCATGGGCATTAATATGGAGTTGGTCCCCCCTTTGCTGCTGTAACAGCCTCCACTCTTCTGGGAAGGCTTTCCACTAGATGTTGGAACATTGCTGCGGGGACTTGCTTTCATTCAGCCACAAGAGCATTAGTGAGGTTGGGCACTGATGTTGGGCAATTAAGGCTGGCTCACAGTCGGCGTTCCAATTCATCCCAAAAGTGATCGATGGAGTTGAGGTCAGGGCTCTGTGCAGGCTAGTCAAGTTCTTCCACACTGATCTCAACAAACCATTTCTGTATGGACCTCGCTTTATGTACGGGGGCATTGTCATGCTGAAACAGAAAAGGGCCTTCACCAAATTGTTGCCACAAAGTTGGAAACACAGAATTGTCTAGAATGTCATTGTATGCTGTAGCGTTAAGATGTCCCTCCACTGGAACAAAGGGGCCTATCCCGAACCATGAAAAACAGCCCCAGACCATTTTTCCTCCTCCACCAAAATGTACAGTTGGCATTCGGGCAGGTAGCGTTCTCCTGGCATCCGCCAAGCCCAAATTCATCCGTCGGACTGCCAGATGGTGAAGTGTGATTCATCACTCCAGAGAACGCGTTTCCACTGCTCCAGAGTCCAATGGCGGCGAGCTTTACACCACTCCAGCCGACGCTTGGCATTGCGCATAGTGTTTATTAGGCTTGGCTGCTCGGCCATGGAAACCCATTTCATGACGAACAGTTCTTGTGCTGACGTTGCTTCCAGAGACAGATTGGAACTCGGTAGTGAGTGTTGCAACCGAGGACAGATGATTTTTAAGCGCTACGCGCTTGTGTGGCCTACCACTTTGCGGCTGAGCCGTTGTTGCGCCTAGACGTTTCCACTTCACAATAACAGAACTTACAGTTGACCGGGGCAGCTCTAGGAGGGCAGAAATTAGACGAACTGACTTGTTTGAAAGGTGGCATCCTGTGACGGTGCCACGTTGAAAGTCACTGAGCTCTTCAGTAAGGCCATTCTACTGCCAATGTTTGTCTATGGAGATTGCATGGCTGTGTGCTCGATGTTACACACCTATCAGCAACAGGTGTGGCTGAAATAGCCAAATCCACTACTTTGAAGGGGTGTCCACATACTTTTTTACATATAGTGAATGTTAATTTCCCAACATGTAGGCTTTTAGACTCTGCTGCAGCTTGCCATGGCAAGGACGGTGTCATTGTGTGCATTTTTATGCATTCAAGGCCAACCTCTGTCTTTGTCAGTTTCCATGGTGAGAAATCTATAGTGACAGATATCCTTATATAGTGAATGCAAGGGCACGTTTAATAGGCGCTGGGTTTTTTGTGAGGGACTTTTGTAAGAGCTGTTCACAGAAAGAGGTTCACAGCTCACAGCACTCACCTGGTTCTATAGGGAGATTCTTTTAAACTCGGTTCTCTAAAGAAAACGATGTGAGAAGAACTCTATAGGAAGCTTAGTTTTTTTTAATGAAAACAGTGTTTGTGAAGAGGCTGTAGTTTTATATGGATTTCTTTGATACACAAATATCGTATGTGTGTGGACAGTAGGGCTCTATGGTGTTTTGCTGTTGCTGTTTTGTATAGGTTTTTATAGTGACTGAGGCTATGTTCTTTATATTCTAATGCCGGGATTCAATCCGATCGCAGGGTATAGGCACTTTGGTTTTTAATTAAAGGCAATTTCCAATTTAGCCAACATTTGCAGTGTTTACCATCAATTGGATCTCCACAAACACATTGCCTTTAAAAGCCGCAGTTCCTAGAACATGCGATAGGATTGAATCGCGGCCTATGTAGCTTGTGTGAACAGTTCTATGCTAAAATTGGTTTTTTTGTGTGTAGTATGTATTAACCTCATAAGGATCGGACCTTTTTTTTCAATATTCGCCTAAAATGACATACCCAAATCTAACTGCCTGTAGCTCAGGACCTGAAGCAAGGATATGCATATTCTTGATACCATTTGAAAGGAAACACTTTGAAGTTTGCGGAAATGTGAAATTAATGTAGGATAATATAACACATTAGATCTGGTAAAAGATAGTACAAACAAAAAAACATGTGTTTTCTATTATTTTTTTCCTCATCATCTTTGAAATGCAAGAGAAAGGCCACAATATAATATTGCAGTTTAGATTTTGGCCACTAGATGACAGCACTGTGTGTGCAAAGTTTCAGATTGATCTAGTGAAGCGTTGCAATACTGGACTATTTTGTATCAAGTCTTCCTAAATGTGCCGAATTGTTCAATTGATGCATTTTCAAGTAAATAACTATAGAGAACATACAAAAATCATATGGTAATACGAAATGTAAGTTTACACACTCCCAGGAATGTCATACATGATGGATCATAAGCTTATACACTAACTTTCACACATCTAGATGGCCGGGCGGGGTGGGTGTGGAGCCAGAGACAGCAGGGGTTCAAACTGTAGAACCCAGTTCCTACATTTGAATATAAAAATTGATTTTATCAAACAAAACTATGCTACATTTTATCTCTGGGACCCTTAGGATGACAAATCAGAGCAAGACTACTGAACATTATTTACCTTCAGAGGTGAATGTAATATAATATAATATAATATGCCATTTAGCAGACACTTTTATCCAAAGCGACTTACAGTCATGTGTGCATACATTTTTATGTATGGGTGGTCCCGGGGATCGAACCCACTACCCTGGCGTTACAAGCGCCATGCTCTACCAATTGAGCTACAAAGGACCACAATGTATCAAACCAGTTGCCATGATACATTTTTTGTTGTTGTGCACTCTCCTCAAACAATAGCATGGTATTTTTTAACTGTAATAGCTACTGTAAATTGGACAGTGCAGTTAGATTAACACGTATGTAAGCTTTCTGCCAATATAAGACATGATGTTAGAGCCGATTTGGGCATATTTTGTATAAAAGACTGAACATACTGAGCTCCATGTACATTTGTGTAAATATATTAAATATTAATGTATATGATGAAATATTAGGTACGTACCTTTATGATTTATTTACCGGATTGAGATATATTCATTTGTTATTAGTGTAACTCAGTTTTTGGCCCCCCCTCTTGCCCATTCATTGTACTGTGTTAATTGTGTTAGTATAAAGGCAGGAAGTTGGGCCTTCGGGGGGAGGAGTCCTTGCTAGATGCGGGAGCGGTATAGTTTTTTGACCATATAGACATACAGAAATACAGACAGACAGGTCATATTATATTATGTATTTGCATTTCAAGTAATCTCTGCTTTAAGTTGATTGGAGAATACCTTTTTGTTAGAGAAGAAGAATAAACATTTTTGTTGCACTATATCCCTGGATCTCATTGAATGTTTGGCCGTTTGGAAACGTTGAGTGTGGACTGTATGCGTCCGAAACAACCCCGCTTCAGGCTAGGGCAGTGGCTATGGTAAAGAGGAAAGGAAACCACCACACATGACTATGTCCTGGAAAATTTGCTGTTACTTACATCCTCTCACTGTCAACTGCGTTTATTTTCAGCAAACTTAACATGTGTAAATATTTGTATGAACATAACAAGATTCAACAACTGAGACATAAACTGAACAAGTTCCACAGACATGTGACTAACAGAAATTGAATAATGTGTCCCTGAACAAAGTCAAAATCAAAAGTAACAGTCAGTGTCTGGTGTGGCCACCAGCTGCATTAAGTACTGCAGTGCATCTCCTTTTCATGGACTGCACCAGATTTGCCAGTTCTTGCTGTGAGATGTTACCCCACTCTTCCACCAAGGCACCTGCAAGTTCCCGGACATTTCTGGGGGGAATGGCCCTAGCCCTCACCCTCCGATCCAACAGGTCCCAGACGTGCTCAATGGGATTGCGATCCGGGCTCTTCGCTGGCCATGGCAGAACACTGACATTCCTGTCTTACAGGAAATCATGCACATAATGAGCAGTATGGCTGGTGGCATTGTCATGCTGGAGGGTCATGTTAGGATGAGCCTGCAGGAAGGGTACCACATGAGGGAGGAGGATGTCTTCCCTGTAACGCACAGCGTTGAGATTGCCTGCAATGACAACAAGCTCAGTCCGATGATGCTGTGACACACCGCCCCAGACCATGATGGACCCTCCACCTCCAAATCGATCCCGCTCCAGAATAAAGGCCTCGGTGTAATCCTCATTCCTTCGACGATAAACGCAAATTCGACCTTCACCCCTGGTAAGACAAAACTGCGACTCGTCAGTGAAGAGCACTTTTTGCCGGTTCTGTCTGGTCCAGCGACGGTGGGTTTGTGCCCATAGGCGACGTTGTTGCCGGTGATGTCTGGTGAGGACCTGCCTTACAACAGGCCTACAAGCCCTCAGTCCAGCCTCTCTCAGCCTATTGCGGACAGTCTGAGCACTGATGGAGGGATTGTGCGTTCCTGGTGTAACTCGGGCAGTTGTTGTTGCCATCCTGTACCTGTCCCACAGGTGTGATGTTTGGATGTACCGATCCTGTGCAGGTGTTGTTACACGTGGTCTGCCACTGCGAGGACGATCAGCTGTCCGTCCTGTCTCCCTGTAGTGCTGTCTTAGTACGGACATTGTAAGTTATTGCCCTGGCCACATCTGCAGTCCTCATGCCTCCTTGCAGCATGCCTAAGGCACGTTCACGCAGATGAGCAGGGATCCTGGGCATCTTTCTTTTGGTGTTTTTCAGAGTCAGTAGAAAGGCCTCTTTAGTGTCCTAAGTTTTCATAACTGTGACCTTAATTGCCTACCGTCTGTAAGCTTTATTTATATAGGTAGTGGCTCCTAATCCATGACCGGTTATTTTATTTCTGAAGCTCTGAATCCGTGAGTGTGCAAATTCTCAGGGGAATTTGGGACTTCACTCATTTTCTCATGCCGAAACCGGATTAGATACATACTGGTAGTTAAATCAGAGTTAAATGCCTAAAAGATTATATTCGCAATGTCGCTAAGCAAAAAACAAACAACTTAAACAGTGGTTACATGTGGTCTGCGGTTGTGAGGCCAGTTGAACGTACTGCCAAATTCTAAGGGTAGAGAAATGAACATTACATTCTCTGGCAACAGCTCTGGTGGACATTCCTGCAGTCAGCATGCCAATTGCACGCTCCCTCAAAACTTTTGACATCTGTGGCGTTGTGTGACAAAAATTCACATTTGAGTGTGGCCTTTTATTGTCCCAAGCACAAGGTGCTCCTGAGTAATGATCATGCTGTTTAATCAGCTTCTTGGTAAGCCACACCTGTCAAGTGGATGGATTATCTTGGCAAAGGAGAAATGCTCACTAACAGGGATGTAAACAAATTTGTGCACCAAATTTGACAGAAATAAGCTTTTTGTGCGTATGGTAAATTTCTGGGATCTTTTATTTCAGCTCATGAAATATTGGACCAACACTTTACATGTTGCGTTTATATATTTTTTCAGTATAGAACAATGAGGGTTAGTTATAAAAAATATTTCCTAGCGTTGCTAGCATGCTAAAGTTAGCTAGCTAGCTAATGTCGATACACCATAGTCGTGGGTCCACAAAATCAAGCAAATGGTTCTGAGCTGTTTTGGTTGTTTTCTTGCTTAGTGACATTGCGAATATCATCTTTTTGGCTTTTAACTCTTATTTAGCTAGCTATGTATCTAATCCTGTTTCTGCATGAGAAAATGAGTGAAGTCCCAAATTCCTGTGAGATGCTGTGAAAATTTGCGCACTCACGGATATGAAGCCTCAGAAATAAAAGATCCGGTCACGGATTAGGAGCCACTCCCTTTTTTATATTAAAGTGTGCATTGTAATAGGTTCCTAACGCGTGTGCCCGTGTTGTAGGTTCCCATGTTAATGACTGTGTACATGTGTTGTTGGTTCCCATGGTAATGACTGTGTACATGTGTTGTATGTTCCCATGGTAATGACTGTGTGTGTGTTTTGTAGGTTTCTATGGTAAGGGCTGCATAGAAGCGTGCCAGCTGAACCCGTGTGAGAATGATGCCAAGTGCCACAGGAAGCCCAGCTCATCACACGGATACATCTGTGACTGTGGAGACAACCACTATGGCCAGTACTGTCGCCACAGGTCAGTCTGTCAACTTTACATCAACTGTATTTCAACCATAGATCAACTACTATGGGCAATACTGTCAAATATACACTACCAGTCAAAAGTTTGGACACACCTACTCATTCAAGGGTTTTTCTTTATTTTTAAAATTTTTTACATTGTAGAATAATACATCAAAACTATGAAATAACACATATAGAATCATGTAGTAACCAAAAAAGTGTTCAACAAATCAAAATATATTTTATATTTGAGATTCTTCAGATAGCCACCCTTTGCCTTGATGAAAGCTTTGCACACGCCTGGCATTCTCTCAACCAGCTTCATGAGGTAGTCACCTGGAATGCATTTCAATTAACAGGTGTGCCTTCTTAAAAGTTAATTTGTGGAATTTCGTAAAATACCTATTTGGTAAAATACCAAGTCCATATTAAGAACAGCAAAGAGAAACGACAGTCCATCATTACTTTCAGACATGAAGGTCAGTTTTGCAGTCGCAAAAACCATCAAGCGCTATGATGAAACTGGCTCTCATGAGGACCGCCACAGGAAAGGAAGACCCAGAGTTACCTCTGCTGCAGAGGATAAGTTCATTAGAGTTACCAGCCTCAGAAATTGCAGCACAAATAAATGCTTCACAGAGTCCAAGTCACAGACACATCTCAACATCAACTGTTCAGAGGGGACTGTGTGAATCAGGCCTTCATGGTCGAATTGCTGCAAAGAAACCACTACTAAAGGACACCAGTAAGAAGAAGAGACCTGCTTGGGCCAAGAAACACGAGCAATGGACATTAGACTGGTGGAAATGTGTCCTTTGGTCCAAATTGGAGATTTTTGGTTCCAACCGTCGTGTCTTTGTGAGACGCGGTGTGGGTGAGCGGATGATCTCCGCATGTGTAGTTCCCACCGTAAAGCATGGAGGAGGAGGTGTCATGGTGTGGGGGTGCTTTGCTGATGACACTGTCTGTGATTTATTTAGAATTCAAGGCACAGTTAACCAGCATGGCTGTGTAAATGCTATTTTACCAAGAATGAGAGTGATGGAGTGCTGCATCAGATGACCTGGCCTCCACAATCACCTCAACCAAATTGAGATGGTTTGGGATGAGTCAGACCGCAGAGTGAAGGAAAAGCAGCCAACAAGTGCTCAGCATATGTGGGAACTCCTTCAAGACTGTTGGAAAAGTATTCCAGGTGACGCTGGTTGAGAGGATGTCAAGAGTGTGCAAAGCTGTCATCAAGGCAAAGGGTGGCTATTTGAAGAATCTCAAATATAACATATATTTTGATTTGTTGAACACCTTTTTGGTTACTACATGATTCCATATGTGTTTTTCATAGTTTTGATGTCTTCACTATTATTCTACAATGTAGAAATAGTAAAAATAAAGAAAAACCCTTGAATGAGTAGGTGTGTCCAAACTTTTGACTGGTACTGTACATCAACTATAAACACAATGAACATTATTAACATACTGTCCATCTGTGACTGTGGAGACAGGTCAGTAAACACTATAACTATAGATCAACTTTAGATGACTGAACCCCAACTATATGACTGAGTCCCAAATGTCTGTGTGTGTTTCTAATGTTAGTAATAGTACACCATAGCAGTGCCTGAGACCGGGGTGAGACAACGTTCCAGTGCTCTGCTCTGTCTATCTGTGAAAGTGGCTTTGGTTGTCCTTGTTTTTCCACAGATATGCCCTAATCCCCGGGAGAGGATGAGAAGAGACTTAGGTTTCTCTGTGATGATAAAACACAGTGACCCAGGCGTCACCCCACCCTCATGTGAAATCCCTCCCAGCTTTAGGTCTCACATATCTGTCACTTCTTCATTTCCCTTTGATCTAGGTACTGTGATGTACTCTGATGTATACTCTGGCCTATATAGCAGACAGGGACTGAAATTTAGAGAACTACCACTTTTAACGTGCGTATGTGCCTGTGTGTGGTGTGTGGTGTGTGTGTGTGTGTGTGTGTAGGATTGACCACCAGTGTCCGCGTGGTTGGTGGGGCTCTCCAACATGTGGGCCCTGCCACTGTAATGCCAGTAAAGGTTTCGACCCCGACTGCAACAAGACCAGCGGCCACTGCCATTGCAAGGTGACCTGCCCGCCACGACACACACACAAGCGCACGCGCAATCACGCATATCAGCAGTAAATACTCTTACCGTTAATCAACTCATATCGCAATCCCAGGCACTGATCCATGCTCTTATATACCTCAGCAGACATATCATCACTGTATATCACCCTACTGTTTTCTAATCCCTGCTTGTAACCCTAATCATTGATACTGATCATAACTTGACACTGCTATCAAACAGCCATTGTCTTATGGGGCATTATCAGCAGCTTCACCTTGTAATCTGAGCATCCCAATTACCCTTAACACTCTTAATGTCAACAGACCCCCCTTATCCCTCATGCCATCCTCCACACTGTGACCCCATCTTAAATCCTTTTTCAAGGACAGTACAGAAGCTCCGTTTTCTCACAGTATAGTATTATATTGAGTATTGTAATTTAAATGTTGAATTGTTCTTATAGGAGATTTAACATACTGGTGTTTCTAAACGCTCACCTGACAATATTTTTTTGTGTTTGTCTGTCCATGTCTCCGTACGTCACTCTTTTTCTCTCTAAATCCTTCTCTTTTCTGTGAATCTGTCTGCTTTCATGTTCCTCTCTCATGTTAACGTGTGTGCATTTGTGTATCTGTCTGTGTGCGTCTATGTATATGCCTGTATATGTGTATGTTTGTGTGTATATGTATGTGACTTTCTATGTCTGTTCTTTGTGTGGATTTGGATGTGGTTGTCTTTGGTCTGAGTGTTATGTATCTGTTTCTGCACGTCTACATGTGTCTGGGTGTGTATCTGTGTCCTGTTTGTCTATATCTCTGTATATGTGTGTCTGTCTCTCTGTGTGTCAATCTCTGTGTATATATCCGTGTGCGTGTCAGGAGTTCCACTACCGCCCGCGGGGCAGTGACTCCTGCCTGCCGTGTGACTGCTACCCTGTGGGCTCCTTCTCCCGGTCATGTGACCCAGAGAGTGGCCAGTGCCAGTGTCGGGCTGGCGTGATTGGTCGACAGTGCAACATGTGCGACAACCCCTTTGCTGAGGTCACACAGACGGGCTGCGATGGTGAGACCGAGGGATTCCTCTCCTACTACCTGCAATCTTCTCTTTCTCTCTTCCTCCCACGTCTTCTCTGTCATCTTCTCTGTGCCTCCCGTTTCTCTGATTCCCTTATTTTCCCTTCTGTAAGACTCTTTCTCTCTCAAAAATCTCTCTCTTGGTTCTCATTGTCTTCACGCACAGTTTTTGACTTATATTGAGCATACTAACGAAGACTCTGTTTTCCCGTTTCTCTCTCTCTCTGTCTGTTAGTCATCTATGATGGCTGTCCTAAGACCATCACCCTGGGTATCTGGTGGCCCAGGACCAAGTTCAATCTGCCAGCAGCCGTGCCCTGTCCTAAAGGATCCGTGGGTCAGTCCCTCAACATTCTACACTTTCTCTGTAGTTTAGTGGATGTCTGTACAACAGATGCATATCTGTATTACCAGTCATGTGAAATCCATAGATTAGGGCCTAATTAATTTATTTCAATTGACTGATTTCCTTATATGAACTTTAACTCAGTAAAATCTTTGAAATTGTTGCATTTATATTTTTGTTCAGTATACTGTATATTTCCTCAATCTTCCAAAGAAGGAAATATGATAACATCTCCCATTAGAAGACTCAGGATCTATACTGACTATAGCCAGATAAACACCCCATTCCTTTGAAACCCAGTATCTGTGTTTGAATGTATCCCCTGTGCTGCTTTTTAGTGTTGTGGATATGTTCTACAGGTATTAGTGTCTGTGTCTGTTCTCCCCAGGTGCTGCTGTCAGACACTGTGATGTGGAGAGGGGCTGGCTGGAGCCGGATCTCTACAACTGTACCTCTCCTCCCTTTGTGGAGCTCAATGCAGCAGTAAGAATACTCCGCTACCCTATTGCTCATACTGGTTGGAACTGCACATTACGGAATGGTGTCTAACATATTGTGTGTGTGTGTGCACGTGTGCATCCGTAGCTGGAGTCGGTTGAGCGGAACGAGACAGAGCTCAGCACCATCATGGAGAAGAAACTGGCCCACCAGCTCCGTGATGTCACCGAGGCCACGACCCGTCTCTATGGCAATGACCTCCAGATTGCTGAGCGGCTACTGTCCCGCCTGTTGACCTTCGAGAGTCTGCAGACGGGCTTCGGCCTGACCGCCACCCAGGACGCGCACTTTAACGAGGTGAGGGTTGCCTGGCAACACGCTCGTAAAAGGTTTTAGTCGAGTTTGGAAAATGTAGTCACTGTTTTATTAGATTGTGTGTGTAGGAACTGAATCTCCCTCTCCCCCTCCGTCTCCAGAATGTTCTGCGGGGCTGCAGTGCGGTGCTGGGTCCAGACAGTGCAGGGTTGTGGCGGGCCCAGATCCAGGCCCAGGGAGGGGCAGGAGGGCTGGCTGATCTGCTGGAGCAGTATGCCCAGACCCTGGCCCAGAACATGAAGCTCACCTACCTAAACCCTGTGGCTCTGGTCGCCCCCAACATCGGTGAGTCACCGCCCCCACGACAGAACCATCTGCTCTCTTACCCTTTATGTGGTGTGATCAGTACATTGTGTCAAGTGAGGTCTACCTTTCTGTATTGAGTGGTTGTTCTTGCTTTGTTTGGTCAAGTAGTCAATCCATGCAAGTGTGTAGCCCTAGTCCTTTTCCTGTGTAAAAACTAAAGAGAAAACCCTGTGCACAGCAGTGCATGTAGAGATCCAGGGGCTGGTTTTGGCACGAACAACTATGTATCCAAAACAAGTGTAAAAACCACACACTGATGACAGACGACCGACCTTGACTTGAATATTTTTTTATTGCAGAGTAGTGAGTAAACAAACATTGTCCATCAGGTTATTTTTGTTATGTTGTGTGGTGTAACCTGGACTCATGGACTGTGTGCGTGTGTGTGCGCGTTTCAGTGATGAACCTGGACCGCGTTGAGAACCACACCCACGTGCGCAGACGTTTCCCTCGCTACCACAGCCCTCTGTTCCGCGGCCAGGCTCTCTGGGACCCCCACACACATGTGGTGTTGCCCCCTGCTGCCCTGGTGCCACAACGACACCAATGTAAGGAGAACATACACACACACACGAGAGCCACTGAAACACACAAAAACACATACTGTACACACACACAAGCACATGCACAGACCTGCCTTATGTCACTCCTGCTATGCCTTGTGCCTTTTCCAGCTTCACAGAACACAGCTCCTGCCCCCGTCAGTATGTTGGCCAATCAGACGGGAGAATATGCTGCAGCCAGGCATTCTGTTTCGCTACCGGAGCCGCCTGTTACCATTGTCATCATGTTGATTTATCGTAGCCTTGGAGCGGCACTCCCCCCCAAGTACCACACTGACCGACGAGGAGTCAGGTAACATATGGATTTATTATACTGCATATACTGTATGCTTGTGTGTTTGTGTGTGTGTTTGTGTGCATGCGTGGGCGTGTGTGTTTTTGTGTGTGCTGTATATGCCTGCCCTCCAGTGTCTGTCTCTCTCATGAAATCTGGTTTACCAGGTGTGTGGGTTTATGACTGTTTATTTATGTATTCATTGGACTTTTCAAAGCACAGCATTGGAATTGTGCCAAAAGTATTGTGTGTCTGTCCTACTAAATCAAATTCTCTCTCTCTCTCGCTCTCTCTCTCTCTCTCTCTCTCTCTCTCTCTCTCTCTCTCTCTCTCTCTCTCTCTCTCTCTCTCTCTCTCTCTCTCTCTCTCTCTCTCTCTCTTCCTCTCCTCTGCCACTCCTCCTCTCCTTCAGACTCCCCAGACATCCAGTGATGAACTCTCCAGTGGTCAGTGTGTCCATCTACAACAACCAGACATTTGTCGGGGGTCCGCTGGACTCACCCCTGCTGCTGGAGTTCCGCCTGCTGGAAACCACCAACCGCAGCAAGCCCCTGTGTGTCCAGTGGAACCACAGCAGCCCGTGAGTGGAGCTTTACATGACTTGAAGGGGCTTGTGCTCAAATCGAAATAGATACTGTCAACTGGGAATCTTGGATTTGTAGTGTGTTTGATGCCTTTATCTTTCTCTTACTTAGTCCATCTCTTTTCTTCGTCCTGACTTTCTCCCACCCACCTTTTCTCTACCCCCTCTATCTGCCCCTTCTCTCTCTCTCTCTCTCTCTCTCTCTCTCTTTCGCTCTCTCTTTCACTCACCCCACCCCCCTCTCTCTCCAGGATGGAGGTGGGAGGTTGCTGGACAGTGAGGGACTGCATCGTAGTATACAGGAACACGTCCCACGTGCGTTGCCAGTGTCAGAGGCTGGGCACCTTTGGTGTCCTAATGGACAGCTCCCAGAGAGAACAGTTGGAGGGGGATCTGGAGACCCTGGCCCTGGTCACCTACTTCTCCCTGTCTGTGTCCATGCTGGCCCTGCTGCTCACCGTCCTGGTGCTGTCCTGCCTCCAGGGCCTCAAGTCCAACACCCGCTCCATCCATTCCAACATGGCCGCCGCCATGCTTCTCTCTGAGCTCGACTTCCTGCTTGGCATCAACCAGACCGAGCAGCAGGTATGTGTGGGTGGGTAGGTTAGGTGTGTTTGTGG